ATTTGAGAATAAAATTATGCATAACGTTATTACTAGAGTTTAACTATACTAACTACTTCAAAGAAGTCGTATCTATTAACGAAACTATTAAGAACAATCGCTTTACAAGAGTCAGTCATAGGAAAATACAAAGTTTTCGATGCAAGCGTGACATACTTTAGACACGTTGCAAGGGAAAATACATAACTGTTGTATTACACGAAGTCGAATTTGTATTCATCAAGGAACAACTACTATGACGTTTCTACTTAAATACTGACGTAGATTACAAGTTAAACGTTCGGATAAAGGTAATAGTATTTAAAATAGAAAACCCTGTTTTCAAATCTTCATAAATTTATAATAAAACGATTTTTCTTTTCAATAAAAGTTAAATGATAATATTTCGAATAAAACAATGCATTAATTTTTGTTTTAAAATAAATATATAAATTATAGTATTTATTATAATATCATATAATTTATTTATATTTATATAGTTCTATAAATATACACATATCTTAATATATATAAATTACGTGTCACGTTGTTTGTCCGCAATGGACTCCTAAATTACTGAACCGATTTTAATACAATTTTGCACACTGTGTTCAGTTTCATCCAACTTGAAAGATAGGATAGTTTATATCTCAATTTATAATCGTAATATTATTTTATTGCGAATTATTTGTTTATTAACAAAGAGTCATGATTATCTCTGTTAGTTCGATAAGATTCTAACAGATGACGGTATAAGGTAATTCGTTGACTTAAAGACGTGTGTATCGGACTGATTTTGAGCCACAGCAACGCGTGGCGGGGCACCCCTAGTATTATTATTATAATGGTATTATTAAATATAAAATTTATATAAATAAAATTTTACAATGATTAAAATTTAAAATTATTAGAATATATAAAATTTGTTAATTATTAAATTTAATGTATTAAATTTATATATATTTAAATATATATATTATTATATTATAAAATAATAATAATAATAATAATAATAATAATAATAATAATAATAATAATAATAATATATTATATAATAATATATAATATAATTATAAAAAAATAATATATTTTATATAATAATTAAATATATAAATAAATATATATTATATACTAATTATATAATATAAATATATTATTATAATTAACATTATACAAATATAAAAATAAAGTATTTTATAAGCTTTTAAAAAAAATGTTACAATAAAAATTAATTTAATTTTAAATCCCATTCTATTATTTAAAAGATGAAATTTATATTCTGTCAAAAGAAAACGTAATATTATTAAACATGATTTTAAAAATATAATTTAGATAGTTTTCCTGTCGAATTAACACAAAATGTCATATAATTTCAAATTAGCCCAAAATTGTCGCGTTACACTAACTTCGGATAGATAACGATCCGAAATAGTGAAAATATTGAGTGTACATATTGTTACTGATATGTTATACATAAGCAGGACACACAGTGAAGAACATCGAGCAGAGGTTCGTTTTAATCAAAGCTTGTTAATCAGTTTGATAACGACTTTCGAGCGACGTGCTTATGAATTTCGACGGGCTAGAACGGACTGGTACTCATTATCATTAATGCATTGTGCGTAGGTATTATATAGAAGTTGAGCGTACAGAAAATTAATTATTCATCCAGGATTCTCGAGGATGTTTATTTAATATAACGCAGACAGGTGCATAAAACTCGTTGGACAGTTTTATATTTTTGTTTAATAAATACTTAACGTTGCACGAAAAGAAAACAAGATGGAATGGATCCATACACCTATAAACGTTCAATTTCAATTAACACACAATTCGTGTTTCATTTATTTCTTTTCTATTCTTTCTACAACATAGATGGATATATTTCGTTATACTTGAATGAGAGATAGATAGATAGATAAATAGAGAAAGAGTGAAATAGACAATAGGAAGGGGTTATTTGTACGAACAGAATTTAACATTAGTAAATATATATATATATATATACGATTTCATTGTAATTTATATTAAAAGGGTAGCAAGAAATCTCTTATTTGAAAATTTCAATTTCAAATGGCTTATGGTTGATTAATAACGGCTGCATTATAATCTGGTGTGATCACAGAACGGTGAAATGTGTTATCTTCACAATCTTTATGAGTCATACGCATCTACCTGATATCACGTGTACGTCATCTGTATATATCAAGCTTTTATCGTTAAATATAACTATCTAGATTTCCTCTGCGTACAATTCATTTATTAAAATATGAATATTTAATTAAAGTAACCGACAGTAACGTCGAGTATATCGAAAATGAACCGTATATATTGAAATAAATCTTTTAAACGATACCATTGTTTCTAAATCGATTAACAAATTCCAAATCAAAAATATTATTTTATTAATAATAATTATCTGACTATAATTTTGTCGTTCTCATTCGAGCTATCTTTATTTTTTTTTTATTTTTTTAATTTTTCGTATAATATGAAGGTATAAAGACATATATATACTATGAAAAAATATAAAAAGTAAGGTTAGAAATATATCGAAATAATTGAATTGTAATACAGCACCGTTTATTGAACGTTGATTTAATATAATTCTAAACTATTTAATGTAGTCAAATTAATATTCACTAATAATTTCTAGGAATTCCAATTAGGTACAAAACAACATAAATGTTTAATATTAACCCCTATAGCAGCAAGCATTTTGAAAAAAAATCTTTTCTTTTTTTCATACAAGCATAGTTTAAAACATTGTTTTGACGAAAAAATTAAAAAAATACAGAAATAATCAATATTATTATTTTAATTTTGGATTTTGTTCGTTCCATGGAAAAAGGTTATATTTTATTAATAAATAAATAATTGTTATAGCATGTAAATGATAAATATCAATAAAACGATTCTTTTTCTTTGCTTTCACATTTTTATTTTCAATTTTCTATTATATTTGAGTGTAAAAAATCACAGAAATATAAAATAATACGCCGCTCGAGTTAACTCGAGCGTGCGGAGATCGGCCGGTTTAGGGCGCTCGAGTAAACTCAAGCGTACTGCTTAAGGGATTAATATTAACATTTATTTATTAAGAATTTAATTTATTATTAAATTTTTTAATTTATATGTTAAAAATTTAATATATAAATTTTAATATACAATAAATATAATAAAATATATTAATAATATATATGTGGGACGAACGCCTCCATGCCAAACTTGTTAAGCATTCGTGGAAGGGAACTGGTCGGTGGGCCCTGGATAGCTCAATTGGTTAAAGAGCAGTCGCCCGGAAAGCGAAAGATCCATGGTTCCAGTCCCCCGGTCCAGTCGGTCCAGCGGTCCAGTTTTTCTTCACGAATCTTACATATATATTATTATATTATTATTACATGTTGTTAGTTAAATAACTACACATATGAAATATTTATACATAATATAATAAATATAATAAATATGTAATATATTTAATTAAATAATATATTGCACTATATCTAATATATATAACTAGGGGTGCCCCGCCACGCGTTGCTGTAGCTCACAATCAGTCCGATACACAAGTCTTTAAGTCAACGAATTACCTTATACCGCCATCTATTAAAATCTTATCGAACTAACAGAGATAATCACGACTCTTTGTTAATAAACAAATAATTCGCAATAAAATAATATTGCAATTATAAATTGAGATATAAACTATCCAATCTTTCAAGTTGGATGAAACTGCACACAGTGTGCAAAATTGTATTAAAATCGGTTCAGTAGTTTAGGAGTCCATTGCGGACAAACAACGTGACACGCAATTTATATATATATTTTGAAGATAATACACAAATAAATATAAAAAGTAAGGTTAGATATTTCATATGTAAATCTAAAAAAAACCTGAAATAATTGAATTGTAAAACAGTGCCACCTATCGAAAAATCACAGTATCTAAAGACCTAAAGACCTCTAAATAATAAATCCGTCAATTAGCACGAAAAAATAAAAATAATTGCATAAAAACTATCCTATATACAAAGCTACAAAAAAAAACACATAAAATAAAAAAAATTTCATTAGGATCGGTTCAGTAATTTCGAATTTCATTGAAATTTTCATTGAAAAAAAATGTGATACTAAATTGATATAAGATAAAGATGGTTGTCTTCATTGTTTTCATTCCACTCACGATTACATTTCGATCTAGTTGTTTAGGTTAGAAAGAAATTCTTTACGTGTGGCATGCTATCTTCCATTACAATCTTAAAAAAGGGGACACGCGGAACGTTAGAAACGGCAATTAACGAGTTGAACTGTTTATATAATAAAGCACGGAGGACTTAATTAACGTTACTCTGTAATCGAACTACTACCACTGCTTGCTCTCGTACTCTTTAAAAAGAAAATAAAAATAACTGAAGCTTTTCACAAAACTCACGTTGGCCGTTCTCATCCAAGAGAACTTCTTCTTCTTCTTCTTCCTTCCATTTTCTTTTCTTTTTTTTTTTTTACCTCGGCAGCCATCTTATCCAACAAATTTCTTTTCTTCTTCTTCTACTTCTTCATTTTCTTCTTATTCCACCTTCTCTTTCTTTCTCTAATCTTTTTTTTCTTTTCTTATTCCCACTTTTTTCCTCGCACCTATAAATAATTCAAGATGCTTGATGCGTAATAAAGACATTAGAGAATCTAAAAGTCCCTAAGGGTGTACGTCATGGTTCAACTTTCCGAAACTCATTATGCCGTACAGCACATAATGATTCAAAAGTACGTTTAGTGTTCTCTCTCTTTCTTTCTTTCTTTCTCTATCTCTATCTCTCTCTCGTTCTATTTTCTTCAATCTCAATCTCGAAGATTCGAGATAATGATAACGAAAACTCCTCCTTTTTCGGTCTTTCTCCTTAGTCAAGAATTATACAAATAAACGACGTGAAAATGTTCCCTTGATTACAAAGTAACATTAACATTATACTTTTTTGTATTTTTATTAGTTTTTTGTTCATCTTCGTTTCTTTTTTCTTTTTCAGATCACAAGTTTCCAAGGTTTGCAGAGGAAATACAAAATGTTACTGTCAGCATTGGACGCGATGCACTCCTGGCATGCGTCGTTGATAATCTTCAAAATTATAAAGTGAGTGAAATATTTTTTTTATATCCTTTTTTTTTTAATTTTTGTTTCTCMTCGATGTTATTTAAATTAAATTAAAAATGAGAAACTAAGTTAAAATAAATATTTAAAATAAATGAATTATTTGGTTGAGTAAAATGTTTCTTCATATTTCAATGAAAAATTTAAACAAGTTTATCTTCATATTTTGAGTGTAGCTTTTTTTAAATGCTTTAAAATTGTTTTTTTTTTCTGCGATGTTTAGTCTCTTACCAACATCTTACAAATAGATCGTACTGATATGGCTGAATTTTTTCCACCATTTTATCGACTTTTCCAACGATTTCTCAACCAGAACGTGATGCATTTTCGACATTTAAATTTGCAGATTGAAAACACTCAAATCAAGTCATACACATAAACATCACCAACTTTATTTTGACTAATCTGAATTGCATTTTCTTATTTTTTGTGATAAGATTTCAAAATGTATCTCAAATATCTTTTTTATTTTTATTCATTTTTAAAAAGTAATAACTTTTATCTCAATGAACAAATATCGCAAGTTTTTTTATTAATTATTCTAAAATATCTTAGCTTTCAAACGACAAAAATAATATTACCAAATTAGATAAATATCTACCAGAAAAATACAAGGAAAATGTCTACTTAATCTAATAAATAAATGAATAAATAAAATATAAAACATATTTTAATAAAATAAATACCAAACAATAAATAAAATATTGAAACGAATATAAATAAAAGTGAAGGTATACCTAGGAATATAAGAAAAAAAGTAGTAATTAACTAAATGTTTAACAAAACTATTAAAACAATTATCTAATGTTAAATTAGGGTACAAATAAAATATTAAAAAAAAAAGATATAATTTAAAGTTTGTAACAAATTGAAGATCCTAGTAATAGAAGGAAGTAAAATATTAAAACAAATATAAGTAAAAATTAAAATATACATAGGAATATAAAAAAATGATAAAAATAAAATAAATATTTAACAGAAATATCAAAACAATTATCTAATATTAAATGAAGGTAAAAAAAAAAATAAAAGATATGAGTTAAAAATTGTAATAGATTGAAGACCCTAGTAATAGAAGGGAAGGATTTAACATATTTATATGACTAATATTATATAGTAATTATCGAATTATCCTTAATCATAGTTGCGATAAAGGAGAGAAGTGAGAAAGGGACGCTAGAGAACAATAGGAGATATTAATGAAAATATTTCCATGGCCACGGTTTGCGGACTGCAAATTGGATGCTGTTATTTCCTTCATCTCCGACAAGGCGTTTGCATAATTGCTTCATTTTCCTTCAGTTAATTGAGATCTGACAACAATAGAATAAATTGATATCATTCATCATGCAATCTTAGAAAAGACTTACGAGTTTAAATTATAATATATAGTACCCCATATATTTATTTATTTATTTATTTATATATTCATACATCATAAACCAGACGAACGAAATAAACGAAGAACATAAGAAAAGAATCAATTTAGGCAATTATTCGGTCTTTAAATTATTCAGCTGGCGGTTGTTGTTTAAGAGCTTAAAAATCAGGATATGCAGGACAATCATCCTACAAGTAGTCCTTTATACACAAATCTTTCAAAACCGTGCACCTAACTGCATACATCGAATATATATGAAACGTATATCTTTCTATATTAGCCAATAATGATAGTAAATTTTATCTTTATGATTGAACAATTTTTTGATAAAGCTTCCTATAATATCTTGTTTGACTTATTTTCATTTTATTATTTCTATTATTATTATTGGATTATTTTTATTTTTATTATCTGCACACAATTTGTTCTAAATGTTTATACATCATTTTTTGTTCACTCTAATTTAATTTTATTTTTTTAATATTTAAGACTATAGTTCGAAAGATCAATAGATATAAGAAAATGTAAATAATTAACCCTTAAAGCTCTGAATTTTAACCCTTTGCACTCCGCTGTTTCACCGTATGAGACATCGAGATTCTAGCCTATCACTCCGATGTCTCAACGTATGAGACATTAAAATTTTTTAGTGATTACAGGGAATTAAGTTATTTCAGCACAACTTTTTCAGACATGCATGGTTCTCCGATGTTTTTTCTTAAAATAGCACGAAAAATCGAATCAAAATATAGTCAAATAACAAAGATATATAAAAAAATTTTAGCGGGTTTTGTGTTATAAGAGAATGCGAGACACGTGCTCACGACGGTCGGAGAACATTTTGGCGAAACTTGAGAAGAGCGATAAGAAGAATTTGTAAAAGAAATGTTTTTATAGGAGCATATCTCGCATTTTATAGTGAGATTTATAATGTACAAAGAAATAATATCAAATAGTATCACATTTCAAATACAATGGAACGCGCTCGCTTTTTTTCAATTGCAACGCTATTACACACACACATTCTCTTGGTAAATAAGTTCTTTTGGTAAAAGTTCTTCTGGTAAATATATTCCTTGATGTCTACAGATTAATATAAGTCCAATATCATTAGAATCAGTTACTTGGTTCCAAAGTTATACTAAATAATACGAGGGTCTATAAATGTTCCATTTCTGTGGCGCGGAGTAGCTGCTACCCAACGTCCTTGTTATCCAACTTGCAAAATATTAAGTGACAGATTTGAAATACTACAATGACGTGTAGAATGCATTAGAATACTCAAATAATTGTGAAATAATCAAAAAAAATGTCTATTGTTGTTTAAAAACACCAGGTATATGATCGGAGTACCTTCTTCCTCAAAATTCACCTTTAAACTGGCACGTTATCCTCTATGAAAATTCTTATATTAAATATTGTTTATATGACTTTCCGGACACTGCGCATGTGTACAACGGTAATAATATTCCTAATTAACAGAATTTAAGATTATAACGTTCATATTTTAGTATTTCTTGCATTCTAATGTAATTATTTTGATGCTCACGCACAGCGATGACTAAAAGTTGTTCCTAAAATCTTCGGTGCAAAACACGATGAAGAAACGGGCGAATGGAGAAAATCCCATAATGTGGAAGTATACCGACTGTAGAACAATTCGGTCATCATTAACGTCGTAAAATCACGCCGATTAAGGTAGGCAGGTCACGTGGCGTGCATTGGGGAGGATCAAACGGCGCATAAAATACTGGTCGTTATACCTAACGAGAAAGACCACTGGGTAGACCGAGACGTAGATGAAAGGATTATGTTATTTCGAGATTTTAAGAAAAAAAAAACTACGAAGACCGCGAATGGGACGAGAACACTGGCGGGATTTAGTATTTGCAGCAATGAACTTCCGAATTTCTAAATTCAATTAATAATAATAATTGATCAATTAAAAGAACTTACCTGTAAGTGAAGTTCAATCGAAATTGTATGTAGGGCCTCTTCTGAAGAGATCAGATGGTAGTCCTCCACCATGTGATCTCGAAGAAGAGGTACGAAATACAATTGATCGATTAAACGAACTTACCTGTAAGTGAGATTCAATCGAAATTGTATGTTGGGCCTCTTCCGAATAGATCAGTCCCACCCGAAGAATAATTTACTCTTCCCATACCTGATTAAATCAGCCCATATACATTACGACAGACAGGACATGCTTTGAATTATGAGGTTAGTACTTGGGAAGGGACACTGCACGGACGTCGGAGCCACCGTCGCTCCCTTTTTATTTTTTACTTTGAATATGTGGTAAGATCGGCACAGAGTGGGGGACTACCATGTGATCTCGAGGAAGAGGCACGAAATACAATAATATATTCATATGTTTCTTTTTTGCGAACGGATTTGTGTTCATTTCGTTGTGATGTGATAAAAAAAAAAAAAAAGAAATCGTTTAACTTGTAACATTAATTTCTTATCGCGTCATTATTTGAGTACCTATCGTGGAAAGCCAGCTGATCCGATTGGACGGGTGAACGATTTTGCAAATCGTTTGCTGGACGAGAGGGTTTCGGATATGTGATCCCTCGAATTGTTCCGATAAAAGCATCGATCCACGATATTCATTCTCCTCCTACACTTTTCTCGTCAACGATAATTCGAGGATAACGTGGACAATGTCGTATCTCGTTTCTACAATGACAAAATATGACTTTCGTTATACATAGATAAAAATTATTATTAAATTACAGAAAATAATGGGAAGCAATCTGAGAACGTGCGCGAGTTGACAAAGAAAAAAAAAAAGAAAAATAGAAAATATATTAACCATCCTTCTCTCCTTTGGACAAGATATTCTTATAACATTTTTGCTTACGTTGAAAAGAAAAGTAAAAGGAAGAAAAAATTAGAGAAAAAAATGAAAAAATAATATAGCAACAATAATTACCTTCCCTCTTCTTTTTTTCTTTTTCTCTTTCTCTCTCTGTCACTCTTCTCTCTTTTTCTCTATTCACCTAAAAGAACTTATTTCCAGAATGGTTTCAATTCGAGAAACACCGACGGGAGAGATGAAAATTGCACTTTCTTATAATTACTATTAAAAAAAAAAATAAAAAAGTTATTTACATAAATAAATAATATTTCAAATAAAATTAACTACGAAAGTAGGAAATATGAAAAAGTTTGATGAAATGATAAAAAAACATCACGTAAGATTTATATTTGTAAATATTGAAAAAAATATAATTATCTATTTTAGAGAGAGTAACACGCGAAATAGGATTTAATTTCATTTGTACAAAATATTATAATAATAAAAAATAAAATATTATTAAAAAATATAATATTTGTGTATAAAATATTATAATAATAAAAATAAAATAATAATAAAGAAAATAATAATAAAATAAAATAGTAATACAAAATATTTATTATAATATAATGATACCTTACTATAATAATAAAGTAACACTTATAAATTATAATATTAAATAATATAAATATATATAATAATAATATTATAATAATAATAAATAATATAATATAATATAAAATAATATATAGTAAATAATATAAATTAAATTAAAATAATAAAGTAACACTTCGTATAATCTTTTACAGAAAAAAAAAAAACATCGTAATGTCTTGATCTGTTTTCTATAAAAAAAAAATTAAAAAAATAGAAAAGCATGCCTTAAGTAAAGGAAAAAAAAAAAAGTAAAGTAAATAAAAGAAAATAGGTTGAACGCGTTAAAATCATCTTTCTATGTCGATTGAAGATAAATGTTTCTTTTATATTGCCAATCGATGTAATCCCGATGATGTTTCTTTCAACGATCCACTTCATAAACGAACCGACATACTTCATAAAAAACGAGAAACTGATCGATCTGAGATACGCATTTTTCAACGCATTAAAACATTTATGATTTAATTCGTGACATTATCTTGCACTTTATTCTGATGAAAGGTTTCTCAAAAACTCCGTTGAATTTTATCGCGAGAACTAACAACAGTACTTGTTCTTTTCAAATGGAAAATATATATACATATATATATATATATATATATATATATATATATATATATTCTTGGACAAGTGGACAATGTTCTTTTTCAACAAATTTTACGAAAGAGTATATTTTCATTTCCTCGTCTACCATTTATTTTCTCTCTCTCTCTCTCTCTCTCTCTCTCTCTCTCTCTCTCTCTCTCTATTTCTCGTTTGTCTAACAACGAAATTACAAACGACGTCTTCTCCTTTCGATTTAATTTTACAGCAGCAAATTTTCCTTATTACCAGTGAATATGCAAACATCCTTTCGTTCTACTCTCTCTCTCTCTCTCTCTCTCTCTCTCTCTCTCTCTCTCTCTCTTTCTGTATCTCTTTCTCTTTCTTTCCCTTTTTCTTTTTTTTTTTTTTAATTTTTTCTCTTCTTCTCTTTCGTTCTTTTCCTTTTTATTTTATAAACACAAGAAATAGAAATTTACTCACGAATAAAGTATAACCATTTTCCATAGACCGTATTCACTTTGCATCATAACGTGTTTTCAGGTAGCCTGGGTACGGGTCGATACTCAAACGATATTGTCGATCCACACAAATGTGATTACTCAGAACCCACGGATCTCTTTATCGTACAACGACCATCGTTCTTGGTATCTTCATATAAAGGAAACACAGGAGAGCGATCGTGGATGGTACATGTGTCAAGTTAACACAGACCCCATGAGATACAAGCAAGGTTATGTACAAGTTGTAGGTAAGATCTATTTTTTTTATTTTATTTTATGGGAATGAATTTACTTACTTAAATATTCTCTCTTCCTTCTCTGACTTTGTAATTTTATTTCTATCCATTGCATCTATCTATCCTATAAAAACTTACTTTATATATATATAGATATATTCGATAGATTTTGAATTTTATTCTTTGAGCTAGAAATATTAGATGAGAAGTTTATTTTGAAAGTGGTCTAGCTCCATTTATGTTCGAATTGAGATAATGAAGGGTTTCAGTTTCAATGCAATTAAAAATTTATCTACAGGATACTAACGAGTCATACTACTTAAGTGTATCTAATGGTGTTAAATTTATAGTTCCTATTAAAATAGTGACAACTATTAAATGAATAATATGCGTTTTCTTACCAAGAATGAAGTTAGACCACTTTCAAAATACAACCAGATTCATTAAAAAATTTGAAGGAGCCCAAGTCCATTGAACATAATTTAAGATGCTTTAAATTGAAAAAAAAAAACAATACTCAATTTATTTTACATATCTTTAAAACACTTCAGAAACATAATTTATGAGATTCAAAACATTTTTTAACTACATCAATTACAAAACAATTTACTGCTCATTTACATTTTGCGTGTGTCTGAAAGGGATTTGAAGAAATCATGATATTCCAGTGGTATATTAAGTCCATTATGTCCTTGAATTTGGCTATTGTAATTTGTCTGATATTTTCATACAGTGGTTTCAATATAATATTGTCAAACTTTTTTGATCTACCCAGACATGGTAATAAATTCAGGATTTGCATATTTTTATTCTTATTCATCGATTTCTTATAAAAAATTTGATACGGTTCATTTCTGACAAAACGCATTCAAACATATTTTTAACCAGGTTATCGATTCTGTACCCTTTTAAAAAATGCTTTTTCTAATCATTTTGTTCATACAAAAGTCTTCTTGATTAATTTCATTTACAATACAATAAAGTAATTACCTTCCCAGCCCTTTCTGATAATATTATAATAATCTTTACAGGAGAAACAATAAATCATTTGTTTTTAATGACATTTATATCAAGTCAAAATTTCTATTATTACGAGTAATTACGGACAATCGTAAAATAATAATTGACAATTGGAGTTGGGCTACTTTTAAAATAAACTTTTTCATCGCTTCATTAACCTTTGCTTATCACCCTTCCTGTAGAACAGCTCTTACCACACCCGGGTCCTTTGGACCCAGGCGAGAACAATTTTTATAAAAAAGAAACTATTGCATAGATTTACTTCAACATTTTTTTAAGACTTCTTGAATACTTACTTAAAAAAACTATATAGGTTTTATAGCCTTAAATTAAATTTAAATATGTTTCAAAAATTACTAAAATTGAACAATTGAGAAAAATGACTCAAGTTGCAAAAAAGGTCTGGGTCCTTTGGACCAAGTGTGGTAAACAAAGGTTAATCATCGAATTTTCTATGTTACAAAATTTTAATTATTTTTAATATACTAGTAACAAATTGCTTCAGAATGAAAAAATCATGGGAAAATGTAACTATTACGGTAGCTAACTCAATTATTTTGGAAAATAGAGTTAGACCATTTTCAAAATAAACGACTCAGATATATTAATTTTCCATAATTTCTATTTCTATTAAAATAATTTAGACGAATAATTGAATAATGACTTTTCACAGCTTTATCTAGAATAATTCTATTTAGCAAATAATAAAGATCTTCATATGACCTATTTCTATTTTTATATGGAAAGTTCGAAACATTATTTTTATCAATTTATATCGACTATAATTAACTTAAAATGAATTTTTACTTAAATCTAATTGCACAGTAAATTAAGTATTAATTAATTACAGTTTTATTATTTAACAATCAAATATAAAAACTATCTTTATCTTACTTATTTCTAATTTTAAACTATTATATATTTATAAATTCATATCGATTAAAATTGACGTGATTAAGTTTTTATTAAAACTAATTATACAATAAATGAATAAATAATTTATCTTAATTTTCAATCATAAACTAAGTTAACTAATATTAATCATTATATTATTGTAGTACCACCATCAATAATAGACAAGGACACCAGTACGGACATGGTTGTAAGAGAAGCAACGAATGTGACGTTGACCTGTAAAGCAAAAGGTTATCCAGTCCCTTACGTCATGTGGCGACGAGCTGATGGCAAAAGCATTGGCTACGATGGGAAACAAGGTGAGAGTCCTCGATCACGTTTAATTAAGCATAATTTTCATTGAGGAATAGGTTGTACTAACGGTAACGAAGCTATCGTTCGATGATTTTCGTTGTTCTTGATAAGTTGAACATCGAACGGAACGGTTAGAGTATAGAGTGTCAGGTTCCACTCGATAACAACAAGCCTTCCACAGGATGCACGTAACTATGGTCAAATGGAGAATGACGTTGGTGGTTGAACGAATGCGTTCGGTGTAAATTAAACCATTACGGATCAGGAGTTGGTGACTGACAGTGAATTCCATTTTAACAAGGACAATGTATAATAGCAAAGCCGTGTGTAATACCCCTATCAGTTGGCATCGTCACCATTTCAAAACCACTCCTCGCGAAGAGAATAAGCAAGGAACCAGAAATTAGTCATTTAGTTCTCACCCGATAAAGCAGCCTATCCAATAACTGGACAAATTTTCGAATTGGGATGCTTCATTGGGCAATAACTAACTTCTAGATATAGTGAGATTCCACGATCATACCTAAAGAGAGAAAGAAGATGATCGAACAATTAAGTGGGCAGACTGTGTTCATCGAGATTAAGATTTAATCGAGCGTCCTAGGAAGTTCACTTTTAAGCCGGATCGAAAGTCAGAAAGAGGATTCCAACCTAGAGAACAATGCCGATCGTTTGTTAATCCAATCTGAGTGGACGAGAAGAGAGGTAGAAAGTGTCCGATGGATAATATATGACGTAAGACGGGATATTAAGCGTTGAGATAAAATCGATTCGCATCAGGGTTTAAATTCTCATTAAGTAAAAACATAACGTTGTAAGTTAACCAGATGAAAATTTCACTGGGTATACTCTATACTCTATATCATAATTTTTTATTTTTATTTACCTAAATATTTACCTACCTACCTACCTACCTACCTACCTAACTAACTACCTATCTACCTACCTAGAGGTTACTCGATAAAATAATTAAAATCTAATATGAAGGAGAACGTAGGGGAATGTAAGATCGAAGGAATAATCTCGAGTAGGTAACATTGATATACTAAAAGGGAAAATACGGGTTTACTGGGAGATGAGATTGAGATTTAATACGATCCCGTTATATCAAGAATATAATATGCTCGCGTTAGCCTTTCGTCATTTCGATCGACCTAGAAATCTTTCGAATCGGAACACATTCGACGTTAGACATAATCGAGGTAACGTACTAGCTCCTAATCGAGAAAGCTCTCTCTCTCTCTCTCTCTCTCTCTCTCTATCTTTCTATTGGAGAACGCGAGGCGTGGCACAGTTCCTTCGATCGAACTCATCGTGAAAACGTACGGGTAGAATTCTTTAGGAAAAAAAAAATTTATTGAAGAAAGAAAAAGAAAAAAAAGATAAAGAGATTTATATAAATAACTTGCTTGCTCATTCTGATTAAATAGAAAAAAATGAGAGAAAGTATAAGTTTCTAAAATGTAAAACCTCCCCCATTTAGAAGACGACACGAAATAATTAAATTCAATCTCAACAAAAATTAAATATTAACAATACTCAATTAAATGGAAATAAAAATTGAATATAAATATTAAAAAATTAAACTGAGCCTAAATATGATGTTGACTTGTAGATAAAAGTTAGGTTATGTGCAGATGTTCCGTGCGCTCACCGAAATCTATTTCCAATAGATGGCACTGGATTTAATCGTATCTTGTTTCTTTTTTAAATAATTCAATTATTTTATAAATAAATTAACGTAACAAAAATATATCTGTAGGAGAATGCAACGTTAAGTCAAAATTTCAAAACAACCGATAAAGTACTTTTAAAGATTAAAGGTTAGGAACAAACTAAATCTACAATTTTATATATATAGATAGATGAACGTTCTAGTTTACGTTTGTACAATACGAAAAATCAATTATTTTATAAATAAATTAATATAATAAAAATATACCTGTATGAGAATGCAGCGTTGCGTCAAAATTTCAAAACAATCGATAAAGTATTTTTGGAAATTAGAGGTTAGAAACAAACTAAATCTACAATTTTATATAGATAGATAGATAGATGAACATTCCAGTTCACGTTTGTACAATACGAAAACGTAAGGGCAGAAGGTAGATGATTGTCCATTCGGCAGAATAGCAATTCGGCTTTCCATTCGTCGATCGATGCTAATTACTCTCTTAATTACTTGCTATGAGAAAAGCCTTGGAACAGCACACACACACACACACTCTCTCTCTCTCTCTCTCTCTCTCTCTCTCTTTCTCTCTGTATGAAGAAAAGAGAACTAGAGACCGTTCACGTAGATAAAACGGGAAAAGGTGAGATGTCAGCCATGGCTACGAGAGCTTCCTTCTTCTATCCAGATTTTCTCCAAGGATTTACTCGATATCGGATAAAGAACGGATTTAATTTCTACTCCAATTTAAATTTTCATTGCTTTCCGAAAGTACGCGGTGGCAAAACCCCAAAAGATCGTTTCTGCATCATAGAGAAGAAACTCGTTTAACCGAATTTTATCGTATTTTACGTTCTACCACTACGATAGTAGTCTGTCGTCTCTTTTATATCCACTATACATACTACTAGCTATACTTGATAAATATTTATGTCGTTGAACTTGGTTCCACATGGAAGAATGTCATTTCGCAGTTTTATTCTAACACGCACGATATTCCACAAGTCCGACGATTATCCAACTTCCCCATTGGGAATCGTTTCTTCGAAACTATTAACGCTTTTCATTATCGAATATACCATTAAGTAGTGTTTTTTTTTTTTATAAATGTACGTAAAAAAGAAACTTCGATTATTCCGTAAAGTGTTTTACAAATTAAAATCTACTTCCTATCGAAAAATCATTTTCATTTAAACGTTGAATCCTTTCAAATTCATTTTCAGTTGTTCGAAATAAGATATCTATAAATGTAACGTAATATTATATCATTTCTATGTTTCAATAAAAAAAATACAATATATATTATATTCACGATACATATACTATTATAAACAAATACATTCAACAAATGTTAACAAGTTAGTTGAATGATGTATACTTTTGAATATACCATTTATAATTGATTATACTAAACTTTACGAATAAGGATAATTTCAAAGTTATCATTTTAACGAGGACAAGGATCAAAATATAGATGGAAGGATTAGCAAGACGATTAAAACAAGTTCAAGTTCGTAGTAACGCGATTTATCGAAGGATACTGAAACATCGTTGTCGTTTTGGACAAGCAAATGGCGTTTGCTTCAAAGCTCTAGGGAACTGACGTGGTAGTAGTCTCAAGGTATAACCCCAAGTACTACTCGACGTACAGGGCCTAAGCTTCAGCCCTTTTTTATTTTTTCTTCTTTTTCTTCTTTCCCTGTCGTTTTTCCCCATCGTTGGGATAGTCCCAGGACGACAGGACAGGACTATGTCGTACTCGTCGGTTCCTAGTTACGTGAAAGGTGTCGGAAGCGTGTCGAGTCTTTTAGGTGTGTTAACTGAAACTACGCTTAGTTCCCATTCCCTCGATGATCCCTTTCCTTCCATCCAACACTTCGGCTTTACTTGCTTTCTTGAGAAAAATGAAGAAAAAAGGGAACACCAGTAGCATCAGCAGCAGTAGCAGAAAGAAAGAGATGGAAAGCAAAAGAAGAAAAAGAAAATGAAAAGAAAAGGAAAGGGATGGAAAAAGAGAGAAATGAGAAAACTAATCGAATTTAACGAAACTATCACGAAAAGACAGCGTGGGGATGGATCAATCGAAAAGATTGTAGTAAAAGAAGAAGAAAAAAAAAGAGAGATGAGAACAGTAAAAGAAGAGAGGTGGATGGTGGGTGGTGGATGAACGCGAATGTAGACGAACGCTACGTGCACCTGTAGACGTCCAGAAGATTTAGGTCAGACCGGACACGATCCTTTCCTGGCACAAAGTCGACAAATGGCGAATGAAATGGTTCAACGATTTCGAGCAAAATAAATAAAGAAACAAATAAACGGATGATCGAATGAAATGCTAGATGGATGTTACCCAAGATAAATGATCTTCCAGATCCTCATTGATCTTATCTTTCTCTTTTATTCCTCATTATATCTGATACCGATCCGTTCTACGAGGAAGACGTTTCAAAATAAAACTTTGAAAATTCTTACGTCTTTAGATACTTTAGAAAATCTTATTTTAATCGAAAATAAAAAAAAAAATACGATCTTTTGAAAAGCTTTTTCTTATATTACTATATATATATATATATATTAATATAAAATTTAATATAGCATATTTTATTATATATAACATACAACATATTATATAATATCTTAATATATATATATAAATTACATGTCACGTTGTTTGTCCGCAATGGACTCCTAAACTACTGAACAGATTTTAATAAAATTTGCACACTGTGTGCAGTTTAATCCAACTTGAAAGATTGGATAATTTATATCTCAATTTATAATCGCAATATTATTTTATTGCCAATTATTTGTTTATTAACAAAGAGTCATGATTATCTCTGTTAGTTCGATAAGATTCATATATACTACAACATATATAATAAATAACATATTATGTTATATATAATTTAATAACAAATTTATTATTATTTTTAATTTGGAATTTTTAATACAAATTTTTTAATTAATGGTATTCGTTTGATTTATTTTGAATATTGTTTTATTTATTATTGAAGCTAGCATTTCAAATCAATTTTATTTATATTCAATTATACAAAATATACATGTTGTTAAAAACAAAGGTTACTTGACCAATTACAGTGTAAAAATGTTTACGTAAACTGTTGGTAGGATTTTGTAGGATTTCTGGAAAAATTTGATAGCTGATAGAATGTTTTAACTAACGTGGTGGTTGCATCTGAATTGAGTTTTCAAAACTGGAGTTTCTTTTAAACAAATCTTTTATCGTTGGTTAGCAAAATACTAAATACTACGAAAGATAGAACATTCGATCGTATGTTTATTTTTAATACTAAGAGAAGTTAGGATATTGTG